ACTTACCTGCTTAATAGCAGAAAAAAACGTACTTATTTTAAGAAAAATTGGCTTACTGCTTGGGATAAGCGTGACAGAAAATGGATGGATGGATTTATTTGTCTTATAATTAATCTATAGAGAAGACAATGGCTCACATAAGGATGTAGATGCATCCATCTACAGCATTAAACAAAGACAGAAATGAAAAGGAATGAGGCCTGAACTAGAAATGACCCCCTTCAGCTGTAGCAGGCTTTTATTTGTTCTCGTTTTACGAATAAAGAATGATTCCACTGCTAATATTAACAGGTACTATTTGTAGGGTATTTACCCACATTTTTAATCCAACCATAGGCGCTCTGTCTGAGGTACTATCATCAAGTTAAAAGACAAAAAATGTTCTTTAGTCCTAAAAATTGTGTTTAGAATGCATGTTTTTATTTTCTTTTTTTTTATGTCTTAGGTTTTTTCAGAATGAAGGTGTTACATCTATTTAAAACAAACTCAGATTTGTGTTGGAACCTTGAAGAGGTTTATTTGTGTGGATGTAAGCATAGAAATCCCACTGGAGGGATTAAAATAGCTGGACTGAGACCATATTAGGATGGTTCCAAACTAACTCTAAAGCAGTTTTTAAATGGTATAAATATGATCCCACCTCGATTGCTGCAAATTTAGCCTAGTTGTAGTTAGGTTTGACGTGAATTCTGGGAACCACTATAATAAACAAACAAATATAAAAGTTCAAGTTCATCTGTTTCTTGTTGTACTCCTGCCGTTGACAAATCAAACCTATAAACAGACTTCATGTCCTGCGTTGTTTGTGGTGACAGATTTAGGTTTACTTTGAATCATCTTTGGATGAAAAGAAACCAAAAAGGTTACAAATTTACAAACTCTTCAAGAAAGTGTAAAAAAAATAGCCCTAAAATGATTAGATTTATCAACAATCCAGCCTCTCTGGCATTATATTACTAAGTAGTAGTAAACATTACTGGCAATATATTACTAAGTAATATAATGCCAGTAATCTTTCTGCTGTAACTCCAAATTACTGACTTGATATGATTTTTACATAGATCAGCTTGCAAGTCTACCAGGGAAAGTTTAAGAGAGATTATATCAAGTGAGCACTAGTGGTGTGGATGAACATGATTTTTTTTTTTTTTTTTTATGAAAGAGAGTTATTACTTAAATGCAAAGATTAGCAGGAACAATCTCTGAACATATAACTCATACCTCGAAGCAGATCAACTACAGCCTCTCCTGTTAGCTTGGAACAAGATCAATAGGAGGCTGGAAAATCATTGCCTGGTCCCATGAGTCTCGATTAACAGCAACGTGAACAAATTGAAAATAAGAAACCCTCCAACCTGTTCTAACGGTTTCAGGCTGGTGGTGGATGTTTAATGGTGTAGAGGATCTTATTTTTGGCACTTTTCTTAACCTTTTTAACACCTCAACATGGTTTTTAAACTCCATCTTATCTGTAAATTGTTTCTGACTACCTCCATCCCTGCATGAATACAGTGAATCAATCATACAGGGTAACAATAACAATAACAGAATGGTTCCTGGAACATGAAAAAAATATCTGTATTCCACCTGAATCATCATCAAATCTTTTAATAGAGCACTGGTTGTCCCTTTTCGTTCTAAGGACCAATTCTTTGCGTGTTTTAGGTGTTTACCTGCCGCCACAGGCCTAACTTTAAAAAAACGTGTGATTAACAGGCTTCTGCAGCACTTGACGCACGCAGAAGACCATGATTGAGCACTACATCAATAGATCCAGTGTATTCTCATTATGAGTTTGTATGAAATCGTACTAAAAGTTATGCACAGTAATTTCGTACGTTTTTGAAGTTTTTTTCATCGTATTTCGTCGTATTTTTACGTCTTGCCCGGAGACAAGATATCCTGGCGCATGCGCATCTTAAGCACCATTCATTAGCATAGAATTTAAGATATAATTAACCTTAACCCTAACCTTAACCCTAAGATACAAAACAGCAAGCATCCTAGTGAGAGACATCAAGAAGTAATTATTGCACAGTTTTTCCGAGTTTTACGTCTGTCCGCGGATCTGCTTTTTTCCTCTGTCTGGCTGCGCATGCGCACTGATCTGTTTTTTCGAGGAAAAACGTCGAAAACATACGAAATACTGTGCATAACTTTTCGTACGATTTCATACAAACTGATAATGAGAATATGTTGATAGATCACCTGGGATGTCATCATCAAGTCTGACTTCACTGTGAGATGCTAACAAACGCAATTAGGTTAAAATCTGAGTACTGTTTCCAGCACTGCTTTCTACGATGTGAATCCAAGGCGTACAGTAGGAAACAAAGCCGCTGCTTAGGGCCCCAGAGCAACTACAAATACACACAATTTTATTCTGAAAATTTTTTTTTTCTTTATCTTTTTATCTAACAGTAAGATATACTAAATCATTAAGAAATAAATACATGTATTTGCATGTATCTACAAAAAAGAATAGAAATCTAACTGGTTT